CTAATTTGCATGAGGTGTTCCATGTGTCGCAACTGCATAAGTATATTTGAGATCTGTCGCATGTAATTTCATAGATGATGTTCAAGTACGGGACAATCTTACTATTAAGACTGTACCTGTGAGGGTCGAGGATCACGAAATGAAGAAGTTGAGAGGCAAAGATATCTCTCTTGTGAAAGTGGTTTGGGGAGGAGCTTCCAGAGAGAACGTGACGTGGGAGTTAGAGAGAAAGATGCGAGAAGTTTATCCAGAGTTATTTGCTTTAGGTAATTTTCGAGGACGAAAATATTCTAAGGGGGGGAGAGTTGTAACACCCCGATTTAATTAGAATTATTTTTAATTAAATAATAAGATGATGCCATGAAATTATGTGAGTTGATGATTTTTATGATATGATGTGATGCCTTGTTAGGGTTAGATGCCTTAGAATTATAGAAGTTGAGGTTATGAGGGTGTGTGGAATAATATAGAATAATTATTTTTCTTACTATATTGTTAGAATAATAATAATTATTTTATAATAATAATTAAATAATTATTTATGGGGTTAATTATATTATTGTTATTATTATCATATAATAGAGTGAGAAGAAAGAAAAAGGGAATAGTGCATGAAATAGAAGAAGAACAGAGAAGTTAGAAGAGAGAGAAGCACTAGGAAGCTAGGGCAAGGATTCACCGTAGGAATCAAGAACCAACCAAGAATTTAAGATAAGGGGAGATTCTAACTCTATAAGGGTTTGCCTAATGACAAGGTATGGTAGGATTTAAGTTGTATGATTGTTTGTTTTGATTTCTCCACAATTGGTTGTTTTGAGGGGTTTTCCCCATTAAGGGATTTTTGTGAATTCGACATGTTTGTGATGAAATTTGATGACATGAATTGGTCAGGATTAATGTACAAATGTTGATGAGTAATTAGCCTGCTTAAAATATGAATTTGGATGTGAAAACTATACATTTTGGGGATTGGAACATGGGAAGATCGTAACAAGAAATTGCAGGATTTTTCTCTATTATTGAAGGATAACGGTCACCCAAATCTGGTAACCGGTTACCATATCAAAAATTGAAACAAAAATTGCTATTGTCCTGTGGTAACCGGTTCCTAAAAGTGGGTGACTGGTTACGGTGAGGGATTTTTGAAAATAAAAAGGTTACTGTCTTGCGGTAATCGGTTACCATAAGTGGGTAACCAGTTACCTCTTTTACTGACAGCATTTTTGGAAAACTTCTAAAACTCATAACTTTTGTATCGGGTGTCCGTTTGACGCGCTGTTTGGACTATTGGAAAGATAAAACAATTTCCTATCTAAAAAAAGGCTTATAATTCAGTAGTTAATTATATCATCAAATTTGATACCAATCAGTGAGTGTGCTTTGATTTATATGCCATGAATTATATTGTAATTATTTGCGATGCTTGTTTTGACTGTTTGTCATGAAATACATTATGAGAATAATGATGATGGCCTATCTTTGCAAAATTGCAATGAGTAATAATGATAAATGCGATGTACGTTATTGCATGATAGAGTCTCATGCATTCATAAGTGAAGGCATGTATTGGTGAGCGAAGTTGATTGCCCTAATTAGCATTATTGCGAAGAGGGTTTTACCTCGTTGATACCACATGCATCGAGTCCGTGTCGGTCTTTTGCATCACGTTGTGATTGATAATTTGATGGGTGAATGCTGATGAAATTAGGTATTATATTACAATGTGTGATATGTGTTTATTATGTACTTGAACCGTTACCTTCTTATTATTATTGTTTCTTTTATATTGTTTGATATCTCACCCTTTCTGTTTGAATGTTACCTCTATGTGAGTAACGTCCAGATGATCAGAAGTAGCTAGAGATTGAAGGTTAGCTGAGGAGTTCCTTTCATTTGCATAGATTGAGTTGGTATCTCCTCTGATACGTAACACTTGGGGGTTTTCTCGCGATTTGTTTTGCTATGTTAGGAGTGAACTTGTATTGCTCTGTTGTTCAAGTTATTTATGATTATGTTGATGTTTGAAAGATGATATTCATTGTTTCATTTGAAAAATTGAGATGACTATTTATTGATGTTTTTCTGCTGTGAATATTGTAATAAAGTTAAAGACTTATGAGCTTGCGATTGTGTTGCATATCCTAATTTTGAGAACATGTAAGTTGCGAACTATGTGACATCCTATCTTGTTTATGTTTATTTAGAAATTAATTATCATGATTTTATAAATTTACCGACGGGGAAGAGAGTGTTACACAAGACATAATGATACCGTCCACTATACTGAAATACTAGCTTTCCGAGTTTTGACATCATACAAAACATCTAATGGTGAAGTTGCACTCACAAACTCCCCATTTTTGATGATTCCAAAGCTTGCGAAGATGCATTTCATGCAGTTACCGAAGGCTCCCCGTGACTTTGTGCTTCCCATCTTTATCTCGCATATTCTTCTCCCCCTTTGACAACATGAAAAAGAAAGAAGGCAAATCGTGAGAAGTATCATATTCCAATACTAATACTAATATATCATACAGAGGCATTTTTTTCAAAGAAGAACGTACAATTACTATCCCCATATATCTAATGATGGAAAAAAAATAGATAACAAGCATAAAACATTACCAAACATGTAATGCAATTGCATGAATAATAATGAATACGATGAAAGAGTAAGCTAGTTAAGTTGCTTCTATAGCATCATGATTTCATAACACAACATAATGGAACTCCCGATGCTGCACATGCATGTGCCTATCATAGTGACAAGAACATGTCACTACTCAATCCAAAATGAAAATGTTTCCATAAAATGTGACTCAACTACAACATTCACTGTACATGCAATTAACATGCTTACATTCAACTCATGCACAAATGCAAAAAATAATAATAGAAACACATACTTATACATACAAGAACAAACTTATACGAATGTGAAAGAATTAACACATGAAGTCATTATAAGCATATACATTGAGAACACGCAATAGTTATCAATCAAATTTTTTGGAAATGAATATTCATGGTTTTCATCATTTGAGAACATAGCAAGCATTTTTCATCAACTAAAACATGTAATAAGAAACTTCTTACTTTTAAGGAGAGATTTAGACCAATATTACCTCATTCTTGGTGGAATGGAAATTGCACTCACATGATGTAAAATACTCAAACAGATTGTTAGAGAAAAAGTATAAAAGTGAAAGTATCATAATAAAGAAGGCAATGTTGGAGACATTAATAATCACCAATTCCATATGTTTGTTGAAAGACGGTTTTGTTGCAAACATTTTTGTGAAAACATCGGTAAGTTGATTTTCACTATCAAGATGCACGAGCACAACATCCCCTTTTTCAACATGATCATGAAGGTAATTCCCCACGCATGTGTTCCTTCTTTGAGTTACTTTATTTGGAGTTCGGGAGAGTAATTCAACTCCCCATAAGATTCATTTCAAACAAACCCTACATAAACTTAGAGAACTATTTGACAAGTTACATATTAGAAGAATCAAATATGATATAATATAAAATGTGTTATGTTTGATGTGTAATGAAGCTAAACATGGTTATGTACTATTGCACCCCAAAATTTTCCCTCCTAATTGATACTATTATCCGGCTTAATTTTAGCGTTGCATTCATCTGTATATATTCTATTAGGGCATTAACATAGATTTTCATTCGATAAAGTACCATGAGGTTAAAAAAACCAAGTAGTTATGAAGCTAGGGTTTACAGCTGATTTGAGGTATATGTTGAATAAGACGGATCATTCTATTTTTTCTTGGTGTGGAAGACTGTGGAATTAGGGTTTTGGTTCATGACCAGTTTGGACCTCTTCTCCATCAAGCTACAAGGCTATTATCTTCTGATGAACAATTGGTTGCAGGTTTTTCTGGTAAAAAAATTCAAGGGTGGGACCTAGCATACATAGTCTTTGAATCAAGATGTCTCCTCATATAAGTGTGCTTATCATTTGATCAGGCTTAATGACTATGATGTGGCATTCATCCACTCTTCAGTTAACCAATTCAGGTTTTGTTGAATCATAGTTCAAAGGATCAATGGTTGTGAAGCTAAGGTTTTCTTTTGGTTCGAGGTGTTTATCAAACAAGATTGATTCTTCTGGTTCTTCTGGGTACATTGAATTGTGAATTTAGGGTTTTGATTGATGGTTATTGTGGATATCTTCCTTATCAAGCTACAAGGATATCTTTCTCAAGGAGGTATATTGGCGGGCAGGTATTTGAAACGTTTGAAGGGAGATGGTTGGTACGAAATTCATGTTTACATGCAATACTCAAGGTTATCAATGGTTTTTCCTACACTCCTGTTGTGGTTGCTGAGCTTTGTGGTTTTCATGTTAGCTCAACACATGTTAAATTTGGAATTGCTGCAATATTTTTGGCTTGCATACAACCAGTTAATGCATTCCTTAGGCCCCATAGACAGTCAAATGGGGAGCAGGCATCATATAAAAGGATTATCTGGGAATACTTGCATATAATTGTCGGCAGATCTACAATTGCCGTTGGCATTGCAGCACTTTTGCTGGCATGACGCATTTGGGAGACGGGTATGCTTTGGAGGACGTCCATGGACTTAGTTGGGAAATGATGATTTAATTCTTAGTAGGTGCATTGAGTATTGCTTATTTCGAATACCGCGAGAAGCAAAAAGTAAGAGATGGGATATTTGGAAGAGGCAATTTACTGCACATATAAAACCTATGAAAACATTACAACTCACAGTAAAAAACATATGGTTCCAACCTCAAGCAAGTCCGATGTTACATTCCAAATCTACCATTAAAAAAACATCAAATCCCATTACAAAGAAATACCATATCCATTACAAATCCAGAAGCAATTATATAAAACCAATTACCCTGCACATATCTTGTGACATCATTTCACAGTAAAAATAATAGAACCAGGAAACTACACCAAAACCATTATTCTAAGCCTAACTCCATTTTCCATCTTTATGCTGCTTCATCTATAAGCTCTTGTACTTCCAGCTGCCCAAAAAATAGCCAACCATAACAGTGCATAAGTTGCTGCATCAATAAGACAAATCCAATGTTGTGCTATGTATTCACCTTTTGATTAACCACGAGTTAGTATTATGAGTAAAACACCTGCATACATAAATAATCCAAGGCATCATAAATCGAACAGGTCACGTTATCCGCATATCCACATTCAGATTTACGCATCAATTCATAGATATAAAAGTTGTGGACTCGGAGAAACCTATAAGATCATATATAGAATTCCAAATCAAACAAGTTTAGAAATTTAATGCAAAATAGTTCCACATGTTGCTGTCTAAAAAGTAAAGAGAAAAATCGGTTCACTATTTTATCCATAATAAGGTTCATATCCATTGAAGAAATTCCCTGCGTTACATACAGTCCAGACCAACCGAGTTCAAACCAGTTCGCAATGATTGTCTTTCATTACTAAACTCGCGGCTGCAACGTAACATCACCCATTATGTTGCTCTAATTAGAGTTGATGTATACATGTTCTTGGCCATGTACTAATAGGCACCAGAACATTGCGAAAGAAAATAAACAGAAAGAAAAATCAGTATTGGAAGCTCAGCTTATGAAAGGAGAAATTCAAGAAAGAATATCATAAATTCAATCAGAAAATATTCAGAAACAGATTTTTCCAGCTCAGTATCTGATGCAATCCTAGCCATCTATTTTGGTAACAGAAATTGAAATCAACAGTTCAGATCAATTCAACCTCTAACTAACTTTATAATCCCTAACTAACTATATAAAAGAACTCACCAGATTTATCAAAAGGTTCTGAAATTCTCTGAGGAATCGCAGGAAAAACTCTCATTCTTCTCTCTGAAAACTCCCTCATTCTTCACTTTTGCTGCAATTTCTCTCGGCTCTTTCCATAACCGTTCTTCAAAATCTTCTCAATCTCCAAAAAAATTATCTGCAACCTATTCTTCCACCTGCTTCAGCATCTGCTTCGATCATCATCTTCCAACCGTATCATCTTCAAAACTCTGTGCATCTTCAACGTTCATCATCATCTTCATCTGCAAGAACGCAATGCATTAATACTACTCAAACAGTCGCATACAAAAAGAAGAAAAGGTGTAAAAGATTGTTGTAGTCATAGAAAAGAGCGAGAAAGTGGAGGAAAACGAAAGCGGAGGCGAGTACAATTTTACCTGATGAGAGCGTCTTCGTAGGTACGATCTCTGCATTTTTTTATCTCGTTAACGCCTTGTAGAGTACGATGAGAGGAAGTGAAGCCCAATGGCAACAGACTCTGATGCTTAACACATGGCATTTGATTTAAACATAGGAAAACCTAGGGTTCTTAGCTTGGATTTAAGATTCTGTAAAAAATGATGAAAGATCAATGGAATGAAAAGTTTGGCATAGACTAAGGCGAGAAGGACGAAGCAAATCGTGTATAGGCCGACCCTCTCAAGGGAATAACCTCCATGGCCGCCGTTGACGCGGCGAGTGTTCTCGGCAGAAGCTTGAAGACGAAGTGGGAGTCATAGGTTTAAGGCATTACTCTGAGATTCTAAAAACGCAACATTTCTGTTTTTTTTTTCTTTTTTTAAAAATAATATGCTAAAATAAACAATAATGTTGGATGGGTGAAAATGGGATTTGAAGTAAGCTAACGCCTAGTGGTGAGTTGTATCAATTGAAAGAAGAGTTGGACTGATTTGTATGGGGCTTATCCCAATATACCATGTTTTTTTTTGTTCAAGGCTTTGTATAAAAAAAATTGGTTGATGGATCTCGTTGCCTTGGGCCCTAGCGCCCGTTTGTCACTACAATTCCCAAATATTGGTTCCCCACCCCTTGGTCTTGTCTTCTTAACTTTTTTTCTTTTAATGTTTCCTTTAATTTTTATTTATTTATTATTTTGATAGAAAGTTAGTGACAGAAGGGTTATGAAATTAATAAAAATAAACACTTGCTAGATTTAGTTTTATTTTGACTTAGGAAATTAAATTTCGATTATCCGATTATATTTGAGATTGATAATTCACCTTTGCTTGTTGAGATGTGAATCTTATGCAGGTTTATTGTGTGATATGCGAATACACTTGAGATGTCGATTGTGATTTATTTTCACATTGATGATGCTTCGACTCTCCGTGAATTCAATTTCTGACTCTTTTCCTTGTTGGTGCTAGCAGCTCGTGAAATTCTCTGGGTTTCTTTGTTATTTGCTTTGCTCTACGGACTAGTACTTGTTTGGTATATTTTCTTTCTACTTTCTCTCTGCATTTATCACTTCCTAGAGATCATGTGAAGTAGGAACCAGGAAATAAAGAGCGTGCGCTCGAAGTCGCTGTTTAAAGACTTGTAGCAGGCATTCCGCACTTCATTTGCTATATGTGTTGTGCTTACTTTTGTGATTGTTGATCGATGAGTAACTCAATTTAGAAATTGAGATCACGACTTCGCTCTTAATGCATGCTCCCTATAAGACTTTATCGCTTCCTTTTATTTCCTGTTGATCGATGAGTCACTCAATTTAGAAATTGATATCACGACTTCGCTCTCATTGCATGTTCCCTATAGGATAGTTTTGTTAAAACATGCATGCTAACGTTAGGTAGATATCTCCCTTTCATTCATCCTGGACTTAGGGATACCATTGTATGATAACATTAGGTTTAGAAATAGGCTAGTCTCCTTTTGAATTTTCTTCCCCCTTTTACAAATGCATTTAAAACAAAAAATTTCTTTTTCTTACAAACTTCAAAATACTTAAAAATTACTGATGAGAATCACATCTTTGTTAAGTATGAGAGATGATAAGCGAGTTTCTTCTCGACCTTATTGTTCTCTTATTCTAAGCTTTGGTATGGTTAAAGTCTCAAAGACTCATTTCATGAATAAGTAGAGAAATGGATAATATCTCTCTCTTGAGATTAACTAGCTATTATCCACAAGCAATAACACCAACCAATACAAACTCTTTTTGCCTTTGGGATTTTCTTTCAAACTCCTTTCAAAAGAGCATGTTAATTCACTTCTGTGCTGACGCGTAAGTCTCCAAAGGTCGAGTTGCCGCAGAAGGCGAAATTAATATTGTTCATTAAAGAATACAAACCAACAAAAACATGTGAGCCGAACTACGGATGCTCTGATTCCTTAAAAGGGATACGTAGGCATTGGGGTAGGGCCCGAGCGAGCACAACTTTTATTTTTCCTACATTCTTTTCTCCTTTTCTTTTGCATGCATTCTCCCTTTAGCAGTAATAGACAATAAGCATAGAATAAACACACCCATAAGATAGATAACAAGAGTGGATTTCATAGAGTACTACGAGCGTGTGGGGTGCTAATACCTTCCCCTCGCGTAACAGACTCCCTTACCCATATCTCTTGGTCGTTCGACCTTGATTTCACCCTTCTCAGGTTTACTCGATATTTACCTTTCCCTTCCTGTGGGATAAAAAACGTTCGATGGCGGCTTCATTGTTTGATGATTTTCAGCCGGTTGTTTCATGTGCACATAAGTGTTTATAATAAATACCTGAAAATATAATATGATGAGTTTATTTCAAGTATATAAATTTATAAGTCACTATCATTATCAATTAAGAATTATGTTGCAAATGAGTACTCATAATATATTTACCATACACCAAGTATGTCATGTATTTATAGAAATAAACAAGTAAAAGAGAGAACTTACTAACAAAGCGAAAGTTAAATCGATACTACCTCATTGTACAATATGACGTAAGATACACTTTCATTTCACATGAACTCTCAAAAGAAAGTTGCACCAAATGCAAAGTATGCCACAAAGGTTTTAGAACAAATCGATCTTACCACTTTTCACCTTGACAATGTACCCAAAGGTATACCTTATGATGAATCCAAGAAGGTTATTGATTTGATGAAAATTTATTTTGATTAAACTCTCATATTTATCCTTTTCATGTTAATTATCTTTCTCCTCCTCATGTTTCATCGATATGGGTTGATCAATTCCTTCTTCGGCGTCATTGAGTATGTCTCTTAAAGATAAACCTACATCATGAAATGAAATACCTTTTTCAAATATTCTTGAATATAACCTCAAAAGTAACTTACACATCTTTTACCAATAAAACAAAACTTTTTGTTGCTTTCTAGATCACATAACCCATCATCTTGCCCCGTATCAATAAAATTAGAATATGTTCATACGCCTTGAACCACCATAAATGAGAACTCATATTCTCTTTATAGAGTTAAGAAAATGCACCTACAAAACAACAAGAAAAGCTAGGTACCTAATCTTCATTAGGTGCTTAGGGGTTAGTAAAATAATTAGTTGCATTTGGGAAATTCAACCATAGTGACAATTTAAATCTTCACCATCACTAAAATCATCATATTACGTGCTCAATTTGAGGACCTTGAAGTTGATGCCCTAAGAGATTTTAGACTTTGTTCTTTCCTCCTTATCCGTGTATTTCTCCCTTTTCTTCTTATTCTCAAGCCTTTTCCTATGCTTGTTCAACAAGTGAGTTCTTATTCATGTTCTTCAAACTTACCAAACAATGTAGTGAGATCAAGTGTTGTAAGATCATTAGCTTCCTTGATCATGGTGATCGTTGGTTTCTAATTCCCTAGTAAGACATCTCAAAAAATTTGTTAGTAGAAATTACATTGGAAATAGGTATACCAAGTGTGTTCAAACAATTAATGAGATTTAATGAATTTTTCTTATCATCATAATTCCATAGTGCTTCCGGCTTAGATGTGACAACAACATTAGCATTGTTTTGATTAATAAAGTCACACATATCCTTGTCATATGAATTAACATAAATGTGTATACAAGTCTTCCAATAACTATAGTTTTCTTCCACATAAAAATTTGGGGTTGTTTTAAAATCCCTTTTAGGTTCATACGCCATTATCTAATAAGAGTTTCAAAGAATGGAATTGACCGGAGCTCTGATTTCACTTGTTAGACTACAGCATCGGATCTAGAGGGGAGTGAATAAATCCATAAATAAAAACTACCTTTAAATTTAATTTTTTTAAATTTATTTGAAAAATAATGTTGAGCATAAGGTTTTTGGCCTAGATCAAATAGAGTAGTCTAAACAAACCTAGTTATTGGAAACTCGGATATGCACGAGCCATATGGAATTAACATAATGATAAAATCAATCAACATGATAATATTTAAATTAACCTTTTAATATCCAACACGACGGTTTCCTATTTCTAATGAAATCATATTAAAATCATAACTTGACAATTTATCGAACATGTAACGTGCAATCAATTTTTCAAAATTTTCTTTGAGCTTTGTTGATATGCAAAAGAACTTATAATCAAAGTGATTATAAGCTAATTAGTAAAGCAATTTAAACTTTCATAATCAAAGAGATATACGAATCAATCGATCAAACAACATATTCACAAAATTGCATATAGAAAGTAAATGAGAGTAAGAGATAGAACATATCAATTTTCCTTTGTGTTAAACAAGCTGAACAATTTTTCAAACACTTGGAGTGCAAGTGAATTTTCAGAATATTCCTTGATTAGTATTGATATACAAAATCACTTATAATCAAAAGTGATTAAAAGTTATATGCACGCTTGAGTTAAAATCAAAACCAGTTAGGAAAATTCTTACAATTCAATTGATAACATAATGTTATTTGATAAATTGATTGATGAATATCAAAGCAAGTAAAAGCGAAAAGTAAAAGAGACACAAGGATTTGTTTAAAAACTTCCCTAGTTTCATCCTCGCATGTGGGTACATCTCCCCTAAATTCCAAATTTGGAATTAGGATTCTTTCTTAATTTGCAAAAGTATGAATACAAGAGAAGTGTTCATAGCAACATTACAAATCATAACTGTTTAATGCCGATTCAACCTCTTCTCTTCTTTTGATCTTCAATAAGACCAAGACCAATATACGCAACCTATTCTCCACTTAAGTTACTTCCTTAAAAGGTTTTCAAACACCCTAAGGTTCCTTGCAAAGATTTCAACCACTCCAAGGGATTTTTCACTCGAGTAAATCCTATTGCAAACTATCAACACAAGATCACCGATTATATCATCTAATTTTTGCTACTTCCTTAAAATGATTTCAAACACTAACATTCTTTGAAAAGATTTCAAACTCTCCAAGGGATCTTTCACATGGAAGATTACCTCTCGCACGATCTTGCACGAAAACCCCCAATTAAACAAATGACATTGGAGGATGAGCTTGATGGTTTTTCCGGATGAAGACCCCTAAAAAAACTCAACCCAAACCAATTGTAAATCCATAATTCTTCGTCTAGATG